CCTGATCAAGAATATATATACTTTGTGGGGTCTGCCACGCCTCCTTCTGTGTGTTACATACATGCGCACAAAACTAGTATAGCCTTTCACCCTTTGGGTACAGGCTAAAAAAATATATCAAAAATAAACGTCAACCAAAATCGTCAGAAAAATATTCGTCAGATAAAATCATGCATGGCAAAAAAAATTACTATAAGCAAACGAGAGATAAATACACTTCAGAAAACACCGATTAATTAGCTACACGTCGAATACAAGTGAGATATTTACAAAAACGTCAGGTAAATACTCGTCAGCTAAATACAAGTCAGCTAAATATACGTGAGGTAAATCCACGTCAGGTAAATACGCGTCAGCTGAATACAAGGCAGATGTCTACCAGTGAAGCCCACAACCACTGACAGTGATTTACGAACACAATCACAGTTATTGGCTGGTAATTTACCATCACTACGATTGCGATTTTCTTTCTACAACCCTATCTCACATGCATGGCATGCAGAATTCCTACAATTTCGTTCAGACATCTATCTATCCTAATGAGCAACTGCAGCGCTTGTCTGAACAAAAAAGCTTGTCGCCAAATATGATTTTTCCTTTCTTCTTTTTTTTGGCAAAATACCAATTGAAGTTAATTACGTGGAACAGTTACAGTAGCAGTTGGAAAAATCATTTCATTTCATTTGAGGCCAAAATGGTGGTAGCTGATTTCAATATGGAAAATCAATTCAACCGGATGCATAGCGCCGCCAACCGCCGTCTGACTGAACATTTGCTGACCATTGGTCGTTTCTAGTTGCCAGGATGTCAATTGTTCCGCGCACACATATTTGGCTATAGGCTGTGTGCTGATTGGAATTGAACGCCAACATCGTCAACTTTTGCTTATGGCTGCAAAATGTTATTTATATATGTATGTATAGTACATATCTTGTTGTTGTTGTTGTTGGTCCTTTTCCTTGTTATTTGCGCAAAGTCTAAGGCAAATGGACAGTCAGGGCAGCAAAGAAACCTTGCCATAATTATTGTTATGTTAATCGAAATAAGTTTGGGGGGTTAGAGATATAGACATAAGATGGCAAGGATAGAGGCATAGAGCAGTCACTTCTTCTTCATATTCTTGTGTTGTTGTTGTTATTATTTTTGGGGTTGCTGTTGGAATCAGAAGAACCCATAAAGTCGCCACGGCTGTTGTCAATGTATTTGACCATTGATTTTTACGTTATGGCTCTGCGTTTGCGTTTCGACTTTGCATAAAAATTGTCGATGAATTGCCGATGAGTTGCCTCAGCACACAAGTATTGAGCATTTGTTTGAGTTGTAAGTGAAATATATGTAAGGCCACATTTTCGCTTAGATTGTTTGAGTTTTGGCTAAGACTGCCTGTAAATTTCTGCCGCATTAATACCACTTATGGCCATCTTCAAATTAGTTCGCTCGCATTGCATACTTTGTGGCGCAGCTGGTGGGAAATGCCTCGAAAGATGGGATTTACAAAATTTGGGAGTGACAACATAACAAATTGCTAGACAAAAGTTAAGTATATTTCTTTAATTATTTTCAAAACTGAATGCTTTTTAGAACATTATTTAATAAACGTTTCCGTATTATCATAAATTGTTGTTATTATTTCTAGTCAGTTTTCTTATTTCAATAAAAAAAATATTTGAACATCATTTAGCATTTTATATCATAGACATGGTATGACAAAGTCCATTTTAGTTAAATGGAAAAAAACCCAGTCTGGCACGACTTTAACATTTTATCAATTATAATTTAAGGAGAAACTGAAAATTTCCACAAATTGTTGGCGAGGGGTTAAAAATACTATCTGTTTTTTTCAAGTGTCAACTAATTGTCATTCCAATTTTCCTTTGTGCATTAAGCCATTTAAGTTTACTTTCGCGCGATATTTGTAAGTGTAACTAATTCCTGGCCACAGGACACCAATATGGGCGTCAACTGAAATCCTTTTTTAACAATTCACCACAGTGTGAACTGCAAGTGACGCTTTACGGCTCTTATCGAAGCCGTTGACGGCAACGCCCACTGATAGGTGTGACACATTGTGTGATTGATGAAATGAATGAAGCGCGTGCAACACCAACCGAAACAGCAAAAGCAGCATCCTGCGAAACAGCCATCAATGTGCCGCGCCTCTGGCAACAACGACCGCCAACTAATTTCCACATTTTTCACATTTACGAAGACAAATTGAGGTGCGAACTTAGGTCGAGGCAATAAAACTGCCGAGTATCAAAACAACAAAATCTTTGCAACACTCGGCCATAAAAAAGGCGGCAAGATGTTGGGGACGAAAGGGGTTCAAATTTGACACGGACGCTTCAAAATGTCTTGCCAGTGTGTGTGATGTTGGCAGGCATGCCAATTGTTTTTCGATTTCGGCGCTTAAAAATGCGAAAATCCGTGAGTTGCCGCTACTGGAGAAAGAGGTGGATGAGACCCACTATAAAAGTCAATATCTACAACAATAAATTGCGAACACACATCCTCGATACAGATTTACAAACGTGGCGAATCGCAACTGCTTCGTTTCTCCCTTTACTTCCTTTCTCTATTTTGTTTTCCATTTTTTTTCTATGTTTCCATTTCATTTCGTTTTATTTGAGTCGTCCATAAACGGAACAGAACGCAAGGCTCGTCCGGCCCACTGGGCGCGGCTTTTCAATAAAACTCAACACCAGCCACAGACATTCCCAGCACCCTCTATCCTGGACGAGCCCCCCACCTCCTAAAAGTACCCCGTACCGTAATTTCTATTAGCATAATGTCGCCGTGCACGCTTCAGCTGATCTGATTCGTATACCGACTACCGAACAACCAACAACCAATACCCAAACCCAAACTCTAGTTTCGATTTGTTGCGATTTTCTTTATGGCATTTGATTTAGATTTTATTGTTGTTGGTATATTTGTTGTTGTTGTTGTGGCCAGTGTAAAAGTTAAGCAGTTGCTCGTAAAAGCTAAAATTACGTTTTAAAAAGTTTTTGTTTTATTTGTTTATTTTAAAGCTTGTTCAAAATTTTCATTGCTAATTTATGCGCATAGCAGATTGAATGGCCAGCCAAGCAACATAAATAAAAAAGTAAAGTGATATTACTGCCTACCTCTTTACCAAGTATATAGTATACTAACTATATATGTATGTATGTATCTTTTGTATAATGACCACAATTCTTGTGGGAAAATTGTGACAGCAGAGGCGATTGTTAATTGCGTTCCGACTGACTGATTGACCTTGTGATTCAATTTTTTAATTGAATTGCCTTTCATTCTCAAGGCCAGCCGAGCACAGCAGCAACGACCTTGAATCATGTGCGAAAAGTGTTAAAACTCATTATGAATGAAAGGCGCTTTGGCATTTGTAACATTTCCCCAATAACGCGAAAACACAAAGCACTATGAGTGTTATATGCAAAAGAAAATTCGACGCGCCATTCAATCAAACAAATTAAATATTATAAATATATTTATGAGTACAGTGAATAGCTCTTGCAGAAGAAAGGAATAATGTTAAGAGGAATTCTGCACTCTAGAAATATGTATTATTAAAAGTTTTAACGGGTTTCTTTCTTTAAATTTTTTTGGTAAATGAGTAGGCAATTCAAAATTATATCCGATACACTGACTTCTAATTAATCTTTTCAAGTTTATAAATATCCGCTTTATTACATTTAAGTTAAGTATGAGACTCAGATTATTAAAAAACAACACTTTAAGGCTTAAGAATAAATGCGATTTTATTTCGATAACATTGGTTTTCTCCACAAGATTGTGAAACATTTCAAATTGTTTCGAATTTTGAAATAAAATAAAAAAAAAGCACAGATCTCTTATTTTTATGAAACATTCAATTAAATGACTAATGGTGGCAAAGCGGATATACCGAGTTTAAAAGGATGTTATTAATGAAGTGAAGAAGAAACAGATATAATTTTATGAGTTTACTTTTGCCACTAAGTTTTAAGCCCCGTTATGAGATGTTTATCTTGATTAATATTTTGTCGAGGTAAGCAACTTAGTGGCAGCTCTCCAAACTTTTGATATCAATTTCTGCCAACACATAAACAACACCTATATCTTAGTGGATATTCAAAATATTGTTTAGAAAATAATATGGGAGAATATAGATTTTTACAAAATTTCTTGCAATGGACAACATAAAAAATGCATTAAATTTTTTATATATTTCTGTTTTTATAAATAAACGAGAAATTTGAATAATGAGAAATTCCGGTATGATCAACCTATTTGAAAGAGTGTTTCAAAACTTTCGATTAACACATCGACCATTTCAATGCAGATAATCAAAAGCTTTAAACTTGCAGTAATATGGTGAAGTGTATTGACAGTATATGGACTTAATAATAGATAAGTAATGCTAGGTCCGCAATTACGATATTTATGCAAACAAACCCATCTACTTCTTGGACCGACAGTCAGTCAAGTGTGTTTATAGAGATACACTAATTAAATAACATTTTAATAATGAAGTACCATATTTATAAGCAGCTTTGTGCTTTGGTCAGATAGGCAATAAATGTAAAATTGGACGAATTTATTTGTTTTAATTATAGTTTGATAAAACATTGGAAGGAAGACAGAAATAAACAACGCATTAGCAAATTTTTTATATAGTATTTATTTATATAGTATTTAAAGTAAGTTTGTTCAATTTATCAAACAACTGCCGTAAATCGCGTACTGGAACGATCCCTTTAAACCGAGAACAGTGAACAGTGAAAATGCAACAAAAAAGAGAATATATAAAATGTATTCAGAAAGAACTCTGCACCCAAAAATAGCTTGAAAGAAAGAACATCTGTTTCTTATAAGAGCAGTTGAAAATTGTGAAATTGAAATTGAATTTTTCCCTCCGCAGCACCAGCAGCTGTTTGGACAGACAATTTAATGCAGAGTCAAATCATCTGACGGAGTACCCCGACCACAATCCGCCCAGATCTAAATAAAGTGGCCCATCAAGGTCAAAGCTCTTTATTCTCAATGTACTCGGTGCTTGGCGAAGAAATCACGTACAGCACAGTGATCGCACACATCGATTTTATCATTGACCACATGATAGATCAAGGACAAAAGGATGAATGGCAAGCGTTCGCAATGTCCAAAGGCACGCCAATACATGCGGGCCTCGCATCTCTTGCGCCTCGCCCCGCCTCTAGGATAGTCGCTGCGAAGATTTTTGACGTACCATTGACAAAAGTTCTCGAAAGGTGTGCGTCGTGGTTCCTCGCTGGTCAGTATCAGCCAGTGGTACCTCAATTTCTGAGCGGGCGTCAACTCCTCCCAGCTCGGTGTATCCTGACAGCTGCTTAGGCAAGCCTCATACCGCTTCTTGGCACACGCATCAATATCCTTTAATTTTGACTCATCTTTCTCTTTCTTGCAACAGGACTTCTCCTGACAGCTGAATAGGCCCGTGAGCACTTCCTTTACAGTACCCAACATGGACGCTTTTTGTGGCTTGCAACTTGCTGCTGCATGACATGGCTGCTTCATTTGCTTGCCTGCCTTTAAAGGACATTGAATCCTACGCTTTGGCTTACATTTTTTAGCACAAGGCGTCTTGAAGGTCTTCTTAGGCACACAATTTGTGTTTTGAGCACAGTTGTCGCATTCTTCCTCGTCTTCATTCTCCTCCTCCTCCTCCTCGTCCTCTCCCTCTTCCTCCTCATCTTCATCGCCTTCATCTTCCTCGCCTTCTTGGTCTTCCTCGTCCTCTTCGGCCTTGCAACACTCGTCTCTCTTCTTTTCCTCTTTTTTACAGCAGCTGGGACAGGCATTCCGAGTCGCATGATGTTCCTCGTATATGCGATCAAAAAGACTTTCATCCTCCTCCCTAGTAGTCGGTTCTTTGTCCTCGCAGTTTCCCACTTTTTCCAAAATCGTATTCATTAGACTACCCTGTAAGTCGGACTCACGTATGCACCTGGGCTCATTGATCGCCTCGGCATCATAGGTGACTACACGGCCCGGGTAACTGTGTCGTATCGTATAACTAGGATGATCAATAATATGCACATTCGCTGAATTGTAAGAATTGCCTTTAGTGCCTTCGTAGAGCTTTGCGAAGGGCGCGTACAGATCATAACTTAGGATTTTGCAAACGTATTCCATTATCGGCACCAAAAATTTCTTAACTACTCGTATGGAGAATTTTGTAATTATTATATTGCTGAGCCGCAATGTTTTCTGAATTTGAATTTTGTCAATGAACAGTGGAAACAAGGCTAACTGCCACAATTTACAACCCCAAACACAGTATGTTTTGACTTGGCAACATAATTTAGTGTTCATGAAAATATATGGCCTTACATTATAAATGCGAAAAACACAAATAATAAAAAATATTTGTTGTCTATCCCCTATTCATATACATACTCGTACATATGTACTGGTTTGTACCTCCCTGTGGCAGCTCTCTTTATTAAAAATGCTGCGAAGGAAAATGGCAAAACAAACATTTGGATTTGTACATTTATTTCGGTTTTTCATATTTCCAACCGACAATTTGCCCGCCCATATGTACGTCGTCGCACAGTGGTGCAGAATCGTTACTGATCGATTGAAAGTTAATTTCACTTTCAAAGCAATACTTGTAATCATAAATAATCATTTATTTACTGAAACATATTTAGTTTTCTATGCTAAGCTTAGATTTCAGATTTTATTTTTTCAAAATCATTTTTTGTATTTATAATAATATTTCGAAGTTTTGACTTTATGGGAAACATAAAGCCAACGTATTCGTTCCTCAAATCTCGCTTTTTAGCGTTACTGAAAAAATAGTATTCTGTTTAAATTAATTAATTGAAAGTTTATAAATTAAACCATAAAAATTTAGTTTTTGTTGTATATTAAAAACCCCTTCTGAAGACTTAAAATTGACAAAATAAATACCAATCATGCTAAATAATCTTAAAACAATACTTATCATTTAATATACAATTAGCATTTCTTGAAAATAAAAGTATGGTAAGTACAATAAGTATTACTTTTTATTTAAACAGACAGATCTTCAACATTATATACCGAAAATAAAAATAAAAGCCCTAAAATTGGATTGTTACAAAACCATTATTTAAACTATTTTGCAGAAACATTTCATTATACTTCAAATAAAATACTTTCTTTTGGGGCAATTGATTTTGTTCTACTGTTCTCCATCGCTGTATTTATGTTTCATTTCATTTTTTTGCTTATTATCTCGCATCCATATAAACATACGCCAACAACCGCCGCCATATTCATTCGTCCGATTAAGCAGTTTTCATGGTCATCATTAAATATTGTTCATATAGTCGAGCAGAGCACTGTTCACTTCATACTTACTCGTATGATGCTGCCTGCCTGACTGCCTGGCATATTGGTAAATGCAAATAAAATAAGTGGCCTAAATAAAAATGCTGGCCATATTTTTGTTGGCTTTTATGAATAATGGAGCCGTCGCAGTTACAATCGAAATCTTTCTCTTTTAGTCTCATCCGCAGCGATGAAAATCGTGGCAATTATTGAAATTAATTTCATTTATTACATCATGAAAATATTTGAACGTAGACCAAAGCAATTACGCCGTATGGAGACCCACTTGCTCGTATACTCGTACCCCCAATCCAAACATTTCGTGTCATTCTGTGGCTCGTTTGGCATGCCAGTACATACATAAGTTCATGTGATTGTATATTTGGTAATTTGAAGTTAATAACCTAGAAATATTGTATGCTCGTTCGATTTGCACATGTTCGGCAAATTCGGCAAATTTTCAGACTCGGGCAACTGCGGGTTTTAGCAGCCATTTAGGCGTTATGTTGTCCAATGGCGAAAGAAGTGCCTTGGTCCACCTATAAAATCTGCTTTTAATTGCTCTTAATGCCAGTCAGCAAACATATTTCGGTTCATTCCCAATATTTACGAATTTACGAAAGTACCGAGTTAATTATTTCGACGTATGCATAGACAATTGCTTGTTAGGAGATACATACATACTTTATATTTGAAAGGGCAAAGCTGCGAGAGCAGTGTTAGAAAACGTTTAATTAAGAAAGAAAATAGATAGGGTGTCGAAAATACGTCCCCTTTATTTTTTTCACTTTTTTTTTCAATTAATTGCAGAACAAGTTTTGTATGGTTAAAATATTTATTTTAATACGATTTGATATGAGACATTTTGAAATATTTGACATACATTTTTAGAAACAACAATTTCTTGTTCAGTAGTTCGTGTAACGAAGACATCGACATGGTTATAAAATATTAATAAGAGCAAGATGAGCAATTAGCTATATGAATTAGATCTATATATATAGTATATTTTCAGTCAGTGTTAGATGAAAAGATCTAAAGACGACTTCACTACTAAGAGATTATCCATTTGGTTAATTTTAACAAAAAAAAAAGATAAATTTAAAAAGAATTCTATGTGTAATAGAACTACACCAAAATCATGTAACTCCCTTGATTTACAGACATTCACTAAATAATTTTAACCTTCTTGTCCTGACATGTTTTTTTTCTCTTTACTATTGTTTATAGCTATTAATCCTCGCGCGGAAGTGCTCGAGGTTGGGCTATTTTATATTTGTAAAAATGTACTGTTAAGGTACTAATCTGAATGCACGGCTTCAATGCTTTGATTACACAGAAAAAAAAATTTAAAAAAAAGTTTTATAGCCCAATAGATTTAGCGATCGGCTTAAACAACAAAGGAATAGTACAATGGTATTTAAAAATATTTTACAACAAAACTTTCACTTCATCCGCGTTGAATAAACTTATACAAGTATAACCATAAGATGACTCCAATCATTAAAGAAAAACCAAGCAATATTTGGCAAATTAAAGTCATAACCATATTTGGTTAAAAACTTCTCTGATGCAGAAAATTAATATACAAATGCTTCCTCTTTTTTTTTAATTTTATGGTAGCATTGGATTCGTTTAATCATGTATTCTGTCATGATGGTTGTGACGTGTTTCGAGCTACATCGCTGAGCTATGCCAGGCCACACTAGCTAATTAGTGCGAAAGGGAAGGTCGAGGGGATGGGTTCTCTTCAGACGCCTGAGGTGCTGGCTGTTGTCCAGTGGGTTTTTGCTTGCTATAGCAGAGTTTTCATGCATTTTTTTTTTGTATAAGTAGTGAAAAGGCACCTTCAGAAGCAGTGATAATGTGACTTGCAACACCCCTCCCCCCGTCTGTGGCATGACAATGCATTTGATGTAATACTTAGCTGCCAAATATCAACGCCTTCACTTTTGAGGCTTTCTGCGACTTGTGGGCGGATGTAAAGAAGAAGAAAAGGAAATTCGCGCAACGACATTTTATGATTCTTAGGTGAGCGCCAATGCCGTGTAGCAGCTAATGGCTGTGCGTCCGCCACAGCTCCCAGAACAATAAAATTCCCATTTAGACGCACAGGCCAAGTGGCAACTGGCCCAGCACAGTGCGAGAGAAAAGTGTACGAACAGCAGATTTTTCTTTTTGTTTCGTGCTGCTGTGCTGTAAGTTTTTGTGTTTACGTGAAAACAATTTTTATGGCATGTCAAAAACCTATTTTAATGCTTTTAATGAAAGCGAATTTTATTGCATTACTTTTCGATTTTACGGCCCAGCCGGCAGCAGCAACAACAGCAGCAGCAGCTGAGTGGAAGAAGTTTCCAATGGGTGGGGTGTACTTGCTTGCTTGCGTAAAAATGCACTCAACACAAAATGTTGACAAGCTCATAAAAACCTCACACGCGTGCACGTCTTTCTCTTTGTTGCTGTTGTTGTTGGTTTTGTTGTTAATAATACATATAACCAAACAGCTTGGAAAACAGGTGACAAGGCAAAACAAAAAGTGCCAAAAGTTTTCCATAAACAAGAGCCACTTAAACTGCCAATTGTGGTGCCGTTTTAACCTCAGCATTTTTGTATGACAAAAACAACATTTCCGCTGCCATTTTTGCATAAATTCTTTTGGCTAGAGAAATGGCTTTCAAATATATATATATATATATGTGTGTGTGTGTGTGTGTGTACGTGTACGTGTGCATGTGTGTTCGGGCTTTCGACTACCTTTGCCAAATTCATTTGACCAGAAACTTAAGTTATATTTTGGAGCTGGGCCAACGAGCAGCAGCAGCTCTGAGACATGTTTAGTGCCACGGCAAAAGGCAAAAGCTTTCAGCCATAAAGAGGCACTGGCAACGACTCCACACAACGCACACGTCGCCTGTCCCAGCACTCAATGTCAGCAAAATGCATATGCAGCTGTACAGGATGGCAAGGATGAAATGCGGGCAGGGAATGGGGTATGGGGATCGGGTCAGGGAGGGGTCGCGTACGAAACAATGCCGTCACACAATGGTCTCCCGGCCAGGCTGCTGACATGGTTGACATTACTTTGGACGCACTTTTCGCTGCCAGCGACAGATAGCCAAGCGAAAGAGAGAGAGAGAGAGAGACAGAAATGGAGAAGCGCCCAGCTCTTCTTCGATTTGTGCATTAAATATTGCATATGAACTAAATGGATTTCTGGCCATGTACGTACAAAATATTGACAGGGTCAGTCATGCATTGTTGGCCAGCCAAAACCGTCGAAACTGTCTTCGCATATACATGCTATATGTATGTACAATGCCAGCTAGCCGCCAACTGAAATAGCAAATTCTAGTTAAATTTAACTTAACCTAGGAAGCACATTACACAAAATTATTGTACAATATGAAGTATAATATTTTAGAATTCATTTATGCCAACACAAAATGTTGAAGTGTGCAAATATTGAAAGCTAGAAACAATTCTTTATTAATTTATTTCATCAACAAGCACAGCTGAATGTGCAATAAAACCAAAACAATAGAGATTTTAAACAAAATAAAACTATAGAATAAAAAAGGAAAAAAAAGAATATAACATTATATATAATATAATTTTATTTGCCAAACTACTAACTACTTGTATGTCCGAATCACAGCAGAGAATAGTTAGAGAGGTAATTGGTCCAAACAAGAAAGACATAGAGCAGAAGAAGTATAAGACTTAATTTTTTTAAGGATCTGTAGAGATCTATTCAACATTCTAGCACTGGTATTCACTTTACGATGCAGGCTAGTAACAAATATCCGTGTATCTAAGTCGCATATAAGCCGCCTGATCCATTTTAAATTTTGGTGTTTGTA